CCAAGTGAATTTAAAAATTATCCTTTATTAGAATGAATGAATTTGGTAAAATATTTTCAATTGAGACAGAAATGTGAGAAGCACACTTGATTGAACATTTCTTAATTTTCTTCAATATTCTGATTGAGACCTTTTGCTTTTAGACAAGCCCTCAAAAATGTGAAAATTGAGACTGGTATTTATTATTTGGAAAGAAAATTCAATTATTTAGTCATGTATGAAATTTACGGTCTAGGAATAACTGGAAAATTTGCTCAATATGGTGATTGAGGCTTTTTAGCTTTGGACGAGCCCCCAAGAAAATGTCATATCAGAATGGACGAATCCTTTCTTCAATAACACTGTATGTCAGCCATGAAAAAGTATGAAAACTTTTTGATGAAATAATTTTTAGAGTCAAATGTTTAAATCTCAAAATGGAAATATCTCGAAAGATAAATAGTTGGAGTTTCAAATCGAATTGATAGAAGGTCAATTATTGGGAAATTTGCAAATAGAACTTGAATGTTCTCTTATTTACTCGTTGTCTTTTTAATCTGTCGAGAGGATAATTTCGAAAAGGATTCACAAGGTTTAAATTCAAAATAATTTGAACACTTTATATTTTCATCAGTAAGAGTGAGTTTACAATCTTAGTAACTAATGATTTTTGACTTACACGAATTGTTTCGTTGATCGGTGACACTCATGATATCGATTGACAATTGTTTCAAAAATGTTTTCGTATCATTTAAATTATTTTGAATGAAGATAATTATTTTCCAAATTCTATCGATAAGATGTATGAGTATTTTTTAAAGAAAGAATCATAAAAGATTCTATTTAATTTGAAATTGAGTCTTGAAAGACTTTAATTAGTAATGAGTCATGAAAGACTTTTTATAGAAAGTAAAGTTATGAAAAACTCTACGTATTACTTTGAGATTATCGAAGAATATAATGATGATATCGTAGTGTAGACTTTTGAGGTTGAAATCTCAAAAGTAAATGCACAAGCCAACGGCTGAAGTGCAAATCGATTGTCGGAGTTACGACGACTTTGACGACTGGTGACTTGTAGATGATGGAGGTGTACTGGTAACTGAATTCGGTGCCCTCGAGCAGCCCTTATATATCCTTGATTTGACCATGATGCATGGGGTGTTACCCTGGTGACCAAGTATTTTCTTATTTTTTTGGTGTTAGTCCACGTAAGATTTTTATAATTGTAGAACTCCCTCGAGCTTCGATACATGGTGAGTCTCCCCTTGCGACAACGTGGCTATCTCGGTGCTGGTTGGCCGAGACTCTTATTTCTATAACTTTATCGCTTCCCCACGTGTCCGATACTCGTAAGGTATCTGTCCCCCGGTATGGTGCCGATCGTTCTTCAAAGTATGATAATGTCTTTGGAGGCACCGCGATTATTCGAAGGGGAGCGTTTGTCTGAAGATTCGCCCCCTTGTCGTTATCTTGGAATGGATCAATAATTTGACGAGTCCACTCGCTAGCCAGTTCTAATTTTTCTAATCTCATCATGATAAATTGAATAGAATATTGTACTCTTCATTTATGGATAGAATTTGTTTTAGTATAATTGTTGAATTCTAAATTTTGAAGATTCTTATCTCTGAAAGATAAATAAATTAATCTAACAATTCACGCTTTTAATTGTTACATGATTATATTCTAGTTTTTGATTAATAGGTGTCGTCTCTTCATTTCCATTCCTATTATTCTTTGAATATATGGTTTCCACATTTGACCCTTGTGATATTGTCAATATTCAATACTCAGAATTGATTCTTGCTATTTTCCAATTGACTACTAAGACAGGTATGTGTTTACAAAAAGATTGGGTCTTTTGTAAAGAAAATTATTTAGGAAAAATGTATTTTAATGCATTTTTCGACGGACGTCACAATTGTCCCTTCGGATTTCGTTAATATATTTTTGCTAATAGTCGATATATTTGTCCTAATAAATTAGCAATTTGCTTACGAATAGAATTCCTGTGACGATTTATTTAAAATTGAATTCAATGTTAAATTCAATTAATTTAACATTGCTCCAACGTTGGTAGCCAGCATTGCCCCAACGTTAGAATTTTTCACCTGTCCCTGAATGTAAGTTTCAAAAAAAAAATTCTCAATTCTGAATATATTTTGGGTAATTTTGGACATCGATCGCTTATGCCGACCGCAGAGGCGCACAACGGCACGAGGCTTATTCGTAACGAGATATAAAAACAAGTGAGGAATTGCATTCGTCACAACATAATCAATATATATTTGGTAATAAATTAGGAATTTACTTCCGAATCGAAGTTCGATGTATTCTGAAATGAATTCAATGTTTCATTTAAGTTAACATTGCTCCAATGTCGACAACCAATATTGCCCCCACGTTGAAATTTTTTCATTTTCCTGAATATTGTTTTCAAAATAAATTTTTTTCAACAACAGCTGATGAAACCAATCTCGTGATCGAACTCGATCAAGATGACAATATTGATGACAATATTTTAAATCAATTCCATTCTACTGAATGGAAAATTATTATTCTCATCAGTACTCCCAAAAGTAAACAAAATTTAATGAAACTTTTTTTTTCTGCGTGAATTGCGTCCAACAGCCGTTTTTTCCAATGTTCCATTTTGCCCCACTCTCCCCTATATAAATGTTATATATATTCGAAGACTATCTTAAATTGGCCTATATTATATAAATTTTCTATATATTTTCCCATGATCGAGTATCGCCCTATTCTCCCTTACGAAATCTCAATTATCAACCTCAATAACGCGGAGGAGAGCGCAAACAACCCAGATGATGTGTTTCGGAGTGGATGATAGCATGTATTATGCTCATTATCGGCATATTCCTGCCAAATGATCTTTCTCAACCATCATTATATACGGATTATCAGGTTTCAAGCCTGCCCATATAATTCCATTGAATGATTAGCGCGGAGTAGTCGTTAATATCAATGGGAGGGACGCTTCCCCGAGGGTATTCACGAACGAGTAAAACCGTTGCATCACCAAAATATATATATATATATATATATATATATATAT